TCTCTCTAAGAAGAAAGCGCTTGCCGTATCTCACAGCCCTGCTTCTACCACCCCTTTCCAACCAAGATGAATCCCACCCTAGGGAGCATGAGCCTGTTACACTAATTAAAACAAGACAACAAAACACAGAGGAATAGTGAAGAGAGCAAAATTTAAACTGAGGGACGTACTACAAGAGAATACAGTCTTTGTCACTTTAAAATAGACAGGACATCGGTGCCCAGGGAATGCCTGAACAATGACCAGCTAGAAACAGTCCTAATCCAACAGTCATCAAGTCATAAAGAGACAAATCTCTTCGATCTTGAGCAGAGATGGATAATGGGCAGACACTGTACAGGTGCTCAAAACTCTGAAGGGTACTGACAAAGTCAACCCAACAGGCTTGACAAAGAAACAAAGGACCGGAGCACACACGTGGGCACTGTCTAAGATCAAATCTGATTAACCGATTGCGCAGGCTGGACTCACAGTTACAACGCGTGTCCATTCGCGGATGGACACTGTGCAGCGGCAGGCAGCAGCACGATGACGACTGTGCTGATCTGGCGTTTCCGCAACACGTTTGGAACAGGATGACCAGCTTTATCAGTATGTGTCAAGAAAATCAACAACTACAAATCACCTGCTGTTCAAGAGGAGGTTACCATCCAAACACCCATCCATTTTCAAAGTGCTTCTACCAATTTAGGGCCGTGGGGTCGCAGGAGCAAGGCAGGATACACCCTGAATGGGACACAAGTCCATCACAGGGCAGAGAGACACACAGACAAGCACACACTCACGCCTGGGCCAGTTTTCCAAGAAGTTTTAACCTCCCAGTATGCTTTTGGACCGGAGCACCCGGAGGACACTCATACAAACACGGGGAGAACATACAAACTCCACACAGATAGACCCTCAAGTCCAGGACTGAACCCAGCACGTCATGACTCATCACTGTGGCTCCTACTATTCACACATCTAACAGAAATGCGTTACTAATAGCCTGCCGGGATACGCTCTGGTTCCACCGCGACCATGAACTGGGAGAAGAAGTTAGAAAATGCACTGATGGAAGTTACTAATAAGGGCCACGGCCACCTGGATCTTATCCAACAAATGTAGGATAAAAGGCAGGAATACACTTTGGATGGGACCAGTCCAGCACAGAGCATGCATCCACACAGGCAGGATTTAGAGACCCTAATTAAACTTGATGAGGTTTGATGAGGGGAAGCTCACACAAACACAGGGTGAACATGCAAACTCCACACAGACAGCACCTCAGGAACTGAACCCAGGGCCACCACAGTGCAAGGCAGCAATGCTAACCACTGAGCCCAGCAGTACCATTATCACATAAGCATTAATACAAGATGAGCTCAAACTGATTTAAACATAGAAAGAAAAACTATGGCTCCTCAGCCTTCTAATGAAGAAGGCACAACAGCCAAAAAATCTGGGTTCTTTATTTCTACTTTTCAGTATGGAATTGACCTCTGCTGGTTATTTTGGAGGCTGTAGGGTAACGCAGAACCCCACTGTAACCTCTTCAGAATTTCAGTTACAGATGTGGCACCCTGGATCCAAACCAAGGTTATAAGTTAATTCCTAAATCAAACATATGTAAATTATAAAGACTTAAAAAATACCTATTCCAATTCATGTATCCAATGACTCAGATTGTTTTAAGGGTAGTTTAGATTCTCTTGCAGATTAATCGTTTTTTTCACATACCCTGCGAGCAAACCGATTTACAGAACTGTATGTATTTATAGATCTGTCAGTCCCACTGTAGTTTTAAATTGCCCCACTGTTACACTACTTATTACAAACTAATTTGAGATGGTACTACACATCTATTTCTAAGTACCTACTACACAGGTACTTAGAAATAGAAAGAAATAAAGAAATAGAAACTGATCGTTTGCTGTATTGTGTTTCCCTTAGGAAGTCCTCTTCGAAAAGGCGCTTTGCACAAAAGACTGCTCTGAGTTTTAGGATTTAGAATTTAGAATTTTCATTTGCAGAAAACGTGTTTTGTTCCATTTTTTGAAAGAATTATAAGGAAGGAAAATATAACATCTTTAACTTCACTCTGGTTAATGTCAAACTGCACTCCAACTGAAGGGCCATCTGACAACGCGCGTACACCTGCCTCGCACCATCTGTTTCTTTGGAGAACACATTCATTAAAGGCAATTTCACCGTAATCCTCGATTTTGTATGGGTTACTAAAATTAATCATGATTAATATATAGTTAATAAAGGTTTAATAGAGATCGTGGTACCCTTTTCTCGAATAAGAAATAGAGATTCTTTAAAGCATTTCTCACAAAGAGAAATCTATTGTGAAACAAGAACTATTTTTCTCAGGAGGTTTGAAAGCGGTAAGGCTTTAAAATTTGTCGACAGCCTGTCTTTCGAGACACTGCATGGGCTCTTTAAACAGACTACTGTACCGCCAGTGTTTTCAGACCTAGGATGCACATACATGCTGCCTAAAGATGATACCTGTTGATTATACTTGATTAAAATTAAATGCAAAACCACAGCGACAGCATATGGCTCTGCATACACCTGTCCAGGTGTCTCATCAATTTCCTCAGGCACTTGAGTAAACGAATATGGAAAATGACTATTTCAACAGGTGTTTTTTTTTCCACGTACAAAACGACAGCCCTGTAAAAGCTGGGGTAGTGTTTGAGCCCCAAAGACCCAGTCTTTCAGAGCCGGTTTTTATATATCTAACCCATTCGGAGCGTTCGTCTCGGATGGGTCCTTACCTCCTTACACATGGGCAGCTGTCTCTCCTGCGCTGTCCCCCCTGGGACAGACACAATCCACACAGAGAGGTAGCTGGAGACCAGGAGGCAGGTCGGAAGACTCCACGTCTTTGAAAATAGACCGTTTAAGCCCATCCTGTCTGTCTTCACTGAGGTACTAGGCGCTGTGCCTGGGATTCTAGTGAGAGTGACAGCCGATGAAAGCGATGGGAAGATACTGATGTCCCAGCGCTCCCGGATGCTCTTCCTACTGACTGAGCGCCTGTTTAATAGCCATCATGGCTCATTATATACACACCTCGGCACTGCGACTCTCCGCCGCCACTCGGCGGACACGGGAAGTGCCGAAGCCGCAGGCAGCACAGGTGGGAATGAGGCGTTTCCACCTTTTCAGGCGCGCCACCTACTGTGCCCGGATTTACCACATAACAATAGGCAACCCGCCTTGTAGTCAATCTCTCATATTTTAATTGGTAAGACTTAATTTTACCAATTGACTGTTGCTACAGTCTGCCACTGTACTTTACAATACATTTGCTTGTTATATTTCTAAAAATGCCAATCTTATTTTCACGAATCAAGAAGTAACTAAAATGATCCATTAATACATTTCCGTCCCTCCATTTTCTTACCGATTAACGGTCGCGGGGGAGCCAGAGCCAGGTAGAACCCGGACAGGACGCCAGCCCATCTCGGGGCACACACAGACACTCACACCAGGGCCAGTTTCCCAGAAGCCAATCAACCTTCCAGTAATTTTTGGACCGTGGGTGGAAACCAGAGCACCGGAGGAAACATGCAAAAGTCACACAGAAATCACCCCATGTTCTGAACTGAACCCCAGGCCCCAACACTGCAGCCGGAACACTAACCACTGCGCTACAGTTCCGCCGCTAAAACCGGATGAATTCGCTTGTCAGAATCCCAAGTGTAATTTCCTCGATGCCTAAGCAGATTCTGATGTGCTATTAATGGGTCGTGTTGCGCTATGGGACATTGACCTGAAACTCTGCCCATCCTGACAGTGTACTGGGGACACAAACCACAGCGACCACCTGACAGTATAGACCCAGGGCTCTCGGGCCTCCCAGGGCAGAAACAGAAATTAAGCAGTCGCTCTCAAAGTCCTACTAAAAACCGCTTCAGACTTCCAGGCGCCCACTCTTCAAATTCTCCACTGAGGCCCTGTCTGAGCTAACAGCACACACACCCGTCGGAATCAATAGCTCCATTCAAAATAAACCGAAGACTCTGTGCTAACTGCAATTCAAAACTCGTGTTTGTGTTAACAAGGACAGGTGTAGATCTCAAATACGTTTCACAATACCCGGGGTTTACAGCAGGTTCTCCACCCAAGACAGCCTATTTTGTAGTTAGTTTTAGTTTCTTAAATCCACGGTCTAAAAAAATATGACAGGATTACAGATTAAGATTAGCGTTTGTAACATCCTCTACCAGCAGGTTCGTTAGCACAAGAGCTCCCAGATGGGATCCTGTGTGTTTGTCTGTCTATTTTATAGGAATGTTACACTCGCTAGGTTTTAAAACAAACCCCAGGTCCAGAATCAACCCATCTTCCCTTTATAAACGGTGCCGATATTGAAAAAACAAAACAAAACATTGGTTTGAATTTATTTCTCTGCTGAGAAGGCTTCACAGCCGAAACTTTGTGTCTCTTTCCCGCATTTTCAGCATGGAATAAACTTTAACCTGTTCCTTTGCGTCTTACATATGGTGACGCAGCTACCTACTCGTTTATTAATGATGGTCTCCTGTTAATAAGAAAGAAACTGCATCATTAATCCAGTTACTACTGGTTTAAATGTAACTGGTTGGTTAGTTTAAATTGGTTTAGATGTAGAAATTAGTTAATGTGTAAATAAATGCATTGCTGTGTATAGAATTACATATCGAAAGGTATATTACAAAATCCATGTCTAAACCGACATACACGTATCTCAATACTTAGTTATCAACGCATTTATTTCTTAATTGCTCATTTGTGTATTTTTATCTTCCCGGGCCTATATAGTCAGGTATACAATGTAAGCTCCTGTTACTGTTCATAAGGCTCTGAACAGTCTGGCTTCATCACACTTCTCTGAATTCCTTCATGTTTCTGTCACCGCTCCATTGTTATGGAATGCCCTTCCTCCGACTCTTCGAGAGGCAAATTCATTGACTCTTTCTCAAATCTAAACTTAAAACTCACCTTTTTACTAGGACCTAAATCTGATTGGTTTACAGTTTATCCAAAAATGTATGTTCCTGCTTCATTTTATTTACTTCTTATTGTATTGTTTTCTCTTTTTATCTCTATCATTATGTACAGCGTCCTTGGGTTTGGAAAGTCGCTTAATAAATAAAAGTTCTTATTAATCCCCTCCGCATCGAGAAGAGATGACGTTCGACGGGTCAAGTGACGTATGAAAGTGACAAAGGACACGTCACAGTGGGTCTCCTAGCAACCCCAGTGGCCAGTGTACACAGTCTGAGTGTCCTGTAGGAAAAGTACAGAAAGTTCTGCCACATCTAGAGATGCCACGATCTCGAGACCCCTTTCCGTACCCAAAATATGAAAACGACGACACCTTTATCGGTAAACCGAAGAACTGTCAGGTAAAACACAACGTGCAAACGTTTTTCGCTTTTTAATAATAAAAACCATATGTTCTCTGCACAACAATGAAATGCGTTGTATTAAGATAGGGTACATGTTGACAAAATAACTAAACATAATCGGTTTTTAATTTAATTGTCATAACAAATGTCTACAAAAACAAGTATATTTAATAGAAAAGCTTATTTCCAAAAAAAAAATCATAGAAGGATCTGAAATTTGAACTTGTTTTACCAAAGGACTAATCTATACAGTGGGAGATAAAGTATTGACAGGCTCTCTCTACCTTGTTCCTTCAGAAGGTGCCCTACTCGAAACCCACTCACCTGGCACAGAACGAAGACCCCTGGAATCGTCTGAACGCCAGAGCTACACTGTCCAGCGCCAGAAGAGAGGTCCTGTATTTCGATCCAGAGGTAAGAATCACACACGTGCAGTCTGAATGAAAATATAGTCACATGAATGCATTTTGCATCATAGGATTTCATCTCGGATTAGTGTACCCTTCTGTGTGGAGTCTGCATGTTCATGTCTATGGCGGTTTCCTCCAGGTGCTACAGTTTTTAAAGACGTGTGGGGCTAGACTAACTCTTGGGTCTGTATAGAGCAGGAACACTTGTTTGAGCTACTGATGAACTAAACAAGTGAGACTACTTGAGGTGAACACTGGTCCTCAAGGGCTGGGAGATATTGTTCTGTTCCTGATGATCTCTGACTGACTGCTTTTTAAATTGATCATAAATTGCTCCCGGTCTTCATCCATTTATGATTTAAAGGCTGTAATATCTTCTGGATCCTTTGGTTAAGTGGTCTATAAATTGTGTGTATGGACAGTGCAATGCACTGATGTCCTGTCTAGGGTGAAAAACAAGACTTTCTGATCATGGATGGTTATCATGGTTACTAAAATGCTCAACCATGGGGCTGCACAAGCACAGCGATCAGCTTCTCTGAAAATGCATTTTCTGTCTTTGCCCCCTAGGTCCCGCAGGACAGGCTGGACTTCCAGCTGAAATCCTTGTACGACCACCACGAGGAGTTCCTGAAGGACAAGAACGAGACCCTGTACCAGAGAGAGACATTCACTGAAGACCACGGGTGAGATCACAGTGGCCAGGAGATCCAATCAGCCACCGACTGCGAGGTTTTAAGTGAGAAAAGTGGCACATAACTAAAATCTATATTTTTTACATGCTTGTGTGCATCTCCTCTAGAGACTAATCATAAATTATAGCTAGGAGACAGGAAGAGGTGCAAGTGGGGCCAGCAGAGGGCGCTCACCCTCCAGTCTGTGTGAATCTTAATATCTCCAGTATAGTGATGGAGACCCGATACTGTAAAAAGGGTGTTGTCCTTTGGATGAGATGTA